TAAATTTTGACTAAATATCTGCTAAACCACCAAAATGGTCAGGATTTTCTTTGGTAAACGAAATCCGGCGCCTATATAAATTCTCCACAATCTACCGATTAGCTAAAACCATCCGATTTCACATTTTGGTTGATGCAAGTTTCTGTGGTCACTAACGTCGAAAATAAAAGATGTGGAAAATTCTGATATTTATATGCTGTTCCTAATCACGTACACTTGTCTGCGTTGTTCCTGAAAACTGAACCAGACATCGTGAGTTAAAAGCACTCACCAGTTTATTTATGCCCAGCCATCTTATCTTCACACTACAAAATACTTTATAAATCAAGACTAGTTATTCGATTATTGTTTTCCTCGTGGTAAACATTAAATAACCGATTGTTGAAATCATGTTTGTCGACTGTAAAACTCAAGGCAATTAGAACATTTATTTGTCGAGGAGTTAAGTACACGAGAGCCACTTTACTCACACTATTCAGTATTCAATCAAATTTAGTTTTGGCTGTGGGGTAGATCAGACTGCCGAGTCCTGAAGATAGGAATTCCTCAACTTGACTTCCATTGGTTTCAACCATTCGAAACTGGAATGTGCATTTATAAAAAAAAATGTAAAATTGTTAGTACATTAAATCTACATTGAGAAGAATTGGATTTAAGGTGCCTAAACAATGCAGTGAATTCTCAGGTAACAATCAGCTCCCCAAAATTTTGCATAAATATATTTATGGTCAATAGCCTGACTTCTCAGCCGATTCGTAATCCTAAGGGTCATCGTAACCGGTACAATGAAAAAAACTGGTCAATCATTATTACTCATGGAAATATGAGAGTGAGAGAAAGCAAATATCAGCAAATTCCCGACTGTTACCTACGCCAGTGTTAGGTTTATTTTCAGGAGGCAATGAAAAGATGATAGGTGCACCCACACAGAACCTAAATTAGGTATTAAAATGGATTTAACAAAGGCGCTTTGAACATTCTAGTAATCTAAATTATTGTTTTGCTGTTAAATAGTAAATGGAATTTAGATCAAAGAATTGATGGAATACCAAATAAAATTTGCTTAGTTGAGGCGAGTCACCTCTATTTGCTGTTGTCACTCAATTGGTGGTACCCTTATCACTGTCGTGCATGGTACAGTGTGGCTTAAGTATACCCAGACCCTCATTTTTGTACGAATTACACGTAAATGGAACAGTACCAAGTCACCATTGAATGATGTAGCATCTGTATAGGAAATATCGGTTAACATTTTGATGATTAGCTGATAGATTGCGTCAAAAAGCCTCGCTTGGTTTGGAATCTTTAGCAACAATTTGGGTCCGGTTACACCTAAGCCATGTATTCCGTGATTAGGGAATATTAACAGGGAGTTTCCTGCCAAATACCATGCTTTGACGAAAGCAAGACGCTTAAGCGCTTGATTGAGTGTAGGAAGTGCACCGTGAATCCACTTATTCGGAGGTGTTTTTTATTTTTACGTCAGCTGTCGCGAAAAAATACGTGGTTTCATAACTACCCGGTAAGTGATTCGGTGGGTTTCACAAATGCTTTTTCAATACAGACTAAAATGGTTGTTCCAGGTTCCTAGTGTGGCAAGGCGTTTGCTTGCCGTAGGTGTTGACAGCAGTCGCTGTCACAGCTTTACATGACAAGTGGATCAGTCGGTTTCAAATGAAATCTCCCCCCTTTTTCATATCAAAAGACATCGAAAAGGGACGAATTTTTCTTGTTAACTACATTTAGGCGTTACTGTAATAAGTGAATGCTTTCTACTTGCGCGAACACCCCAAAAGTAGATTTTAGACTTTACTAAAACCGTAGCATCGTAAGCTCGAGCTTCTACCGTTTTTGAAGTCTATTGGCTTAACCCAAAACGATGGTGGGTGTTTTAAGTGATAAGTGAAATTTTTCACCTGTGCAAATAACTAAAACTAAAAAATACGATTTCAGACTAAAAACAATTTTCCTTTGAAACAGTGGGTCTCGGTGAATTTACCGTAGTCTTTGGCTTGACATCTGATAAACGACAAAATGAAATATTCTATGATTTCACAAATTCGACTAATACAAACTTTTACCTAACACTATTAATATCCTGCATTTTTCTCCTCTCGATGATCTTCGTTCCTTGTGACTCTGCGGGTGGGGGTGAGGGTTTGCCTCGATTTGTGTTTCCCCTGTGTGGCCTCAAATCCGGAGCACCTTCTAGAATGATCGTAGAGACAATTCGAAACAGCGAATTACCAAAACAGGGGAACAACTAAGAAGTGAGAAGGAGAGTTTTTCATTTCTGAAAACTTTTGTGGGTTCTTCTAAGGGAAATCACTCTGATTCCAGTGCACACCTAACCAGCTCTGATTTGTGTGAAATCTACCCTGTGGGCCCGGTAAGCACAAAACGCAAATCCCAATACCAAAAAAGGATAATTTCTTTCCACACGTATTTTCACCATGGATCGAAGTGTTTACGAGTTGCATTGTAAACTGGCTAGCGCGAAGAGAGAATGGTGTGTGTGTGCAGTATTTGTTTACTTGGCATCCACAGAAATCGTGTTGGCAATGTGTCTCACTGTGGGACCGAACCCAAAAAACCGCATAACACATATTTGGTACAAGTGCGCAGACAGAAAAGTAAATGTGAGAAACTCATCAGAGGGTGGTGCAGGTAAGTAGATCCTACGAGCTATTGGTTAAAATTAGTTCAGATACAACCATTCATGACCAACGGCTAGGTCACTGAACAAACACGCGGTAACAGGAGTTTGTAAAGCGGAACTCTTTAAGAGAGTTATGGTTGAACAAACGCTAATGGGAACGTCTTTATAGCAAATTGTAAGGTGAATACCTACATTGCCCGAATAATTTTATTATCCGGGTCGTCGTAGAGCCGGATAGATGTCAGTCTGCTAAATCGCAAATGATACAAATGTGGCACTTTGGAAAGATTAAAAGGGTTGGTATAAAAGTAAAATTCACAGCAATGTCGCAAAGTACTTGCATAATTTTGTTTCACGAAATAATGATTGAGTTACACAACCATTCCCACGCCAATGTGCGAAAATACAACTATGAACTATGTGAAATATGAAACAACATAAAAAATCACTAGTTGAGAGAAAATGGTGCAGTTGGATTCAAAATCATTTATTTGACTGTAAAAATGTCCGTGGATGCTCGAACGCTTCGTTCCATTTCATAACATTGAAACTTACGTGTTTGATTGTAACGTGACCTCAAAGTTGGAAAAAATAATGCCCATTTGACAAAACCCTTAAAACGCTTAAGAAATCGGGACAAGGCCAACCCGTCGCAAAAATATTTTTGTTAAATTGTTTCTCAGCATGGCGCGAATGCAAATCAGGCCCTCTTACCAAATGCAGCGGCATCATCACGCTTGTGATGGCCTCGACGCTTGATCCAGGGATGCTTGAGGGCTTGGTGTGCCGACATTCGGTCTTCTGGTCTCCAACTATGAAAGAGGATGTCATCTTGGTGAAACGTTATCCTTTTGTTTCTACTATTAAGCAATGTGGTGAATTTCAAAAATACTAACGAGAGCACTCAGGTACAATCACCGAAGAGATTTGTTGGGTCCTTGCCTGCAGTCAAATGGTAAGTCACAGGGTCATACAAATTAAGAAACCAGGACTGCTTTGTAATGCGCCAATTCAAAGGTTTTTCTACAATTCTCGTGTTTTATTTTCCACATACCATATCAATCCATTTTCCTATTGAACGTTAGACCGGTAAATGATAATTTTGACATGTGATTTTAGTAATTTATTGTTTGCAATGTTACGAAATTGGTAAAATTGCTTTTAGTTAAAGTCGTTAATTTTCAAAATATTTTATCGATTAGAGGAACCTTGATGAGTTGAGTATGCTTTGATCTGTCTCGTCTACTTTGGGACTTTTTAAGGAGGTGTTCGGAATGCACTTCAAACTGGCGAGATCATTAAACAAGTCTTATTCGAAACTAAGGCCAATTACCTGCAATCTTGATACTTACGTTAAGCATTTTAAAATAAAGTCCTTGAATAAGGGATCGACTACACCAACTGCCTCTTCAAAAGACTTCATCGTCGAAGGGGAATTCTTGACAGAATTTTCCTTCCCTTCTGCAAATAAATCAACGGATTTTAAGTTTAAAGTGAATCGACGGTAAACCTCAGTACATGTGAGGTCATTTACTGGCAAAATTAATTTACCTGCGTTATTTTGTGTTGTGATTTAACACGTCAAAACCCTTTTTAAAGGATGCTACACGATTGTGTGATGTTGTACGACACTCGATCTAATATCCTTTAAGTTTTTAAGAGCACTTAACACAAGCAAGTTTTCTTTGATGCCTGAAAGCGAGCCATACTTAGGTACTAATAATTAATGTCATTAGAACAAATGCAGAACCCCTAGTATCGATAGTAAGGTACTATAGCATATATAAATTATACACAAGCGTCCCATTATTAACGCGATTGAGGAGTTATTGTGGTTTTTTGTAATCGAAGGCCTATATGCAGGAACGAAGTGTGATTAATAGCCAGAGAGAGGGTAAGTCAACGCAAGAACTGGCGCCGGAAGGTCAAACTTCAGAGCAATTTATTGACGGGAGATGAATTACATTCACGAGTCGTGTGAGTCCAGCTGGTGGGAGGGTGTTGCTATTCAAAGTAACGCCAAGCATGAGATTTTCAATTCGACAAATTCTTGGTTTGTTTAGCTTAAGATGCCTGTACAATTAAACGCAATTTTATCGGTGCTTAGGCCGCACAAAAATGTCGAGCAGAACTCGGAAGTAGGGAGTTTGATCGAACACCGAAAATTGTAACCTAAAAAACAGCTGAGTAAGACTGTCTAGGTATATATTAGACTCGAAGCGACGACAGATGAAAACTTGATTTCTATGCCCGCACATAGCACAATTAATTTTTAATGAATTAATCCCAGGATTTGAGAGTTGAATACAGCAGAACGGTCCGAATAGAATGGCCACATTAATTACGCACCCGACATTTTGCCCAAAACAGTAGAATCCTGAAGCATGCTTGCAGGAGGTTCACCAAGAAGTTCGGCAATGCAGCGGAGTTGGTCATTTTCGTCCTTTCCAGGGAAAAGAGGCTCGCCTGAAATAAATGCCGAAATACATGTAAAGGACGATTAAAGTTAAATTAACATGGTTAGTTTCACTCAGTGTCTTAGCATTTCTTTCGCAGCATTCTTGACCTGACATCTGCAGTCGCGTATTGATTTGCAGTCTGTTACTTTATGTTGACCAAAATGCAGTGATCAATGGAAAAATAAGCTTCAATTAGACCTTTTACACCCTAAGACATGACCTGTTGACTGTATTCAAGAATTAGGAAAATGCCATGAAAGATACAAGGTAATACCAGATAACTAAACCTGTGTAAAGTTCCGCTACCACGCAGCCAAGGCTCCACATGTCAATCAGCTTTGTGTATCGAAGACCAAGAATCACCTCTGGGGCACGATAGTAGCGCGATTGGATGTAATTGTAAACTATTTTCGTGAAAAAAAGTGGCAGGGTAAGAACGCATTTGAGTAGTAGATTCGTGGCTTGGAAAGATGCTATAGTTCTGTCAAATTCGTTGTCAAAAAGACCGGTCGCGATAGTGGTGACGTTCAAGTATAATTTCACGGTTAGATTTTATTGCACGAGTGGTGAGTAAATAAGCTCTGCGTTTCGACTAAGTGTGCAGTATTTTAGCTTAATCAAGGAATTCTTGAATTACCTAAACATTTGAATCTTGGAACAGTTTCTGCTAATGATAGAAAAATGGTTGGACGTCCATTTGATTTGCTGAAATTTCTCAAATGCAGCCTGCTCATCCTGTATTTAAGATCACAATTACCACTCAGTGGATATAAAATCAGGTCATAGAGCCATAAAAATTGTTTTTAATATCTCACAACTTGCGAACGAATTGGCATTTAAAGCTTACTTTGTTCTGGTTCCTTGCAGCTGGAACCAAAGTCGATTAATTTAACGTAGGGTTTATTTCCAGGAACAATGAGAATGTTTTCCTAGAAGGACGTAAAATAAGTAAATCAAGATGTTTAAAAGCAAATTATCAGAAACACAGATTCCTCACTTTAACCCCTCCTTAAACAATAAATAGTAATCTGCATGAAAACAAGATCAGATTTGAGGACTCACCGCCAGCCTACTTGAAGCAATTGGGGCGGATTTGCACTTGCTAAATAATACAACGTTTTAGGGGCCACTAAGTATGTTAATGCACGCAAAACGTAAATGTTGCCAAATGGAGCAAACGCAGTACCTCTCAATATCAATATTTCAATTCTCATTCAGATTCGAGTTAGTTTAACCAGTTTGACAATGGTATCAATGTGGCTTAAAATTACCTAGCTGGAATTTCTACGCTCGAGTTGCATCGGACACAGACACGAAAACGAACTAGTATTTTGCTTATTCCTACCCACCTTACTTAAGCTTCATTTCTGCACCTGTAGCCAAAAGATTTTTGCGCACAATGTGCTGCATAGATGCACATGAATATAAATGCAGCTCTCTTACTGGCTTTAGATCACAGTGTACAATATCCTCGTCACTTAAAATAGCAAGACACTTTAGAACGCAGCGGCACATTTTCCTGATAACCCTCACTGGAAATCCACGAAACTCATTCCTCTTCAGAACTTCGTATAGATTTGCGCTAAAACAAATCGAAGAAAGATAGTAACACATGGCTCTTACGTTTACTTGCATTTCCAAGACTCCTAACTCTTCTCACTAACCATCCTGATAACTGGGGTGTCAATAGATAATTCACTTTAATCCTACGTTAAATCACAGAAGTAGAGTGATTGGTCTGTAGGTGGAGGATATGTAATATTCTGAATTGTGATCTTTCAGGTCAAGAGTGTAACCTTAGGCAGTGTTTATTGCAATAATGTCTTTTGCTGGTGAGAACTAAACCATGCAAGATATATTGATAGTGTTAGTTATCAAAATCATACCCAATGTGTTCAAAGACTATACAGGGATGATTGCGAAAGGTAAAGTCATCAAAAATTCGCAAGGTGAAATTTTTTCCGAGAGGATCCCGCTTTTCTACGGTCCTGAGCATCTGTACTTCAACTTTTGCCTGTTCGTGGAGGCTAAATATGGAAGATAGATAACCTTTTAAGCAACTTTTTGGATCTGAGTAATGCTGCTAAGACCCCCAACTGGCTCAAGAAAACATGCGTTATGTCTACATTATTGGACAATAATGTATTAGGTTTGGTTTGTGAGTAAATTCAAGCCATTTTGATACAATGGTAAGGTAATAGATTCTAATTAAGGTGCTGATTTGTTTCAATTTCTTGCTTGATCACTTGCCGAATCTGCCCAAAAATTACATTGAAAAGAAGAAAAAATGTTTTACTCAGACTAGGAAACTGTTTTTCACAATTAGTTTAGATTCATACAGATTTCTCTAGAGTTGATTAATAAAAAAAAACTAAATTAAATTTAACAACGCAAATGCTCACTTTGGCCTATTCCGGATGATTTTTAAAGCCACGTGTCTCTGTTCGCGGTGGTCAAACGCCGTTAGAACTTCACCAAAAGCTCCTTTTCCTATTGTCTTGATTAATTCATACCGATAGGCAATGTGGTCATGTAGAACCTAAATAAAATTCGCAATTTACTAAACATTCCACGGTATTATTGCGTTGATCTGCCCTACAAAGTAGCCAAGTCTATGGTCCAAATGTACCCAACTGTTATACAATTCCTCTAGAGATACCAGAATGTTTCCATTTGAGTATAATAATAATAATAAATCGGACATTGCTTTTGCAAACGCCCAACAACTGCCATGCAGCACCGCCATTTGAACCGAACGCGCATAAGTCAACATTGGGTAATATCAAAAGGACCCAATGTGGTAAGTTCTGCCATTTTTGGCAAATACAGTAAAAAGCAATTCAACTGTAAGTCGGAGGGTGTGTTTTCAGTAAAGCTGGCTGAGACAAGGGATAATTTTTGGTGTTTGAGGTTTTGCGTGTCCTTCACACGCCCTCGTGAAAGTTTCAGTCTCAGTTCGTTCACTTCAACTCAATGCCAGGTCCACAAGAGTCTACTTCTGCAAACGGACACTTAGTGTTACTGTGTTTGAGCTTCAGTAATGCAGCATGCAACATTTCGTAAAAAAAGTCACGGTGTAACCAGCAATGCCTTATGTTCATATGCACCAATTTCGCGAGTCAGTACCACAGACGTTGTTTACATTTGCCGCTCACGAGGCATTATCTTGGAAGGTACAGATCTGTTTATTGTGCTATTTACATCAAAGTATCAGGTTATGTGACTGATAGTCACTCTCTTTTTTTTCATTTTTTAGTGCCAAAATTGCAAAGCACTGAATTTCAGCATGTGATTCTCCTTAGAGTTATGTGTCAGTTATTTCAAAAATGACATGGCAATAATTACTTTACCTGTATACTCTCGAGTTGCTTTATGTCGTTTAGACTCAGTGGAATCTTCCCGTGAATTAGCATCCACCACCGTGGAAGTTTTAATAACTTTCATGCATGCCTCAAAAATGTATTAACCATTTCTAAAATTGACACTAAAACTAATGTGTTTTCGAATTTTGGACACAGATTTTTAACGTCATGTTAGGCGCGACGACAACTTTCATGCTTTTGAGTCTCTTTTTACAAATGAAGACTAACCAATCAAAGAGAATAAGTTTGCATTTTTCTAGTAAATGCTCTACTATAAGTTAGCAAGCCAAATTTCTACTTACACTGCATAAAAGTGGAGGGCAATTGAAAATTAGCAAAATGGACGGCATACTAGACAGTTTTGTGTAAGTTAGATTTTGTCGAAACGCTTTGGTTAACGTATGGCACATTGCTGCTGCTAATTTAGATGACAAAATATTGAAAATGAATGATGCTGTTTCTTTCCTATCTTGAACGCGGTCCTTGCGACTGACCCACCGTTTTGTATTCTCCACATTTGTTGTCGAAACCGTTGTTGTAGCTGTCACCTGTGCTGGAAGATTTAGCGGCTCCAGAACCAAAGTACCAGATTTTCTTGTACGAGAGAATTTCCTTTTTCTCATAGTCCGTCAAAGAAGAGCCAAATTTTTGAACTACTTCTGAAAAGACCAATTAGGCTTAAATAAGTTGGTTTGAAGACACATTTTAAATCAATTTTTCTCAGATAACACTTTGTGCTCTGTTTGCCAAATTTCCTGCCTTGGAAATCCGAAACACTGGTTGGCTACTGTGTGAAAATTTTTACTGAAATGTCTTTATCAAATGATGCTTCCAGGACATTTGTTACTTAGGTTGTTATCCAGTGAAATGCTTTTGAATCATAAGCTACTTAGATTATTATCGCCAACCTTGTTGAATTTATAATCACCCGCATATGGGCCAAGTGTGGAAAGTCGCGTACCCTGAGGAGAAAGCCACTTTTTATCGGTGTGTTCCGGTGTCGTGGGATCCCTCGGGCCGTTGGCGTTGCCAACCCCGACAACGCTCGCCTTATTGTCCATTAACATGTAAGCGACCTCGCCCTTCTTGACCACTGCCGAGACGTTCACAGTAGAGGAGGAGGTCTGGATGAACTTTGTTCGGGCGCCGGTTGAAAGCCTGAACTGCGGGGAACCTCTGACGCCAATTTTCTTTCTAGTGCTAAAGCTCTATCGAGGAAAATTACAATCACATTAATTTTTGCAAATATTAGGCAATTTCCAGACAAAATTTGATAGAAACACATCAAATCTGGGAATGAATAGTTCTTTCGACAACTATAAAGTTGGGCAACAATCTGAAACTGACCTGCCAGTCCAATCGAAAAGTATTTGTGGACACGAAATTAAATTAAAATCTTTGAGTGGAAAACAGTGTACACGTATTGGTTGCTTTTAGTGTTCCTTGAGTATGAAAAGAGAGCATAGGCTGTAATCATCTCCTGGGTGTGTCTTCTTCGAAGCTATCGTTATTTCAGGATGGTAGATGCTAATTTTAACCTAATGCTATTGTATTCCTAATCCGTTTTCGTTTAGTTAAATTGCATCGATTAAAAAACAGCTCTTTATAGACATCGAAATAAAAGTAAGGGCCGGAACTACAGTAGAGATGGAAAACTAACGAAGAAAAATAGCAATCGGTAAAATAGTGCGGCAAAGGTCTATAGGGGTTGCACCGTAAATCCAGCTAGCTAGTGTCATTGACTTAAAATTAAACACATGCACACATGAATGTACATTGAGACAAAAATGACGAAACGTTTCGTGATGGTGACCAGTTATGTAGCCATGGATTTCAGATATCATCTAAAACGGTAAACATTTGTCGCGGACTGTCCATGGTTTCGACTGTAAAGTAAGTTAACTGGGCTAAGTGCCTTGCACCCATCGGCAGAAGTCCCTGCATGTAGACTCAGACTGGGAAGAGTATTGGGGCATGAAATTTAAATTTCTATAACATTTCCATGGGATACACTGACCATCAAATGTTTTGAACGCTTCAGTTTGAAATCCTTAAGGCAAGCTCAGTTTTATAGTCATGGATTTGGGACTAGAAATAGAGTGAAATAGGTCCTCACTAGGCGTTATATTGGAACTATGAATCATGCACTTGGTGAATTTACCATTTCTTGTGTAAAAACACACGTTCAGAAATGAGGAACAAGCATGTGCGTGGAGTCTCCGGAAAAGCCAATTTCCTCACACGAATAAAAACGGTCTTGGTATTTTCTGAGGGAAATAATGGGCTTATAAAGCACTACTAACCTACGTTTCTATACTGGCAAGCAGAGGAAGTGAGTCACGGACCAACACGAGCGCATCACACAAAAGGCTCCTGAACTAAAAAATAGCCAAAAGTAATTTTTACCTCTGCTTGAACAATATTCTCAGCAGGATTCCTTTTCACCTCGGTTACGTGATAGCCCCCGTTACAATGGTGATGCGTCTTAATTGTGGCAACCCTGAGAATTCCCGTATCGGTGTGCTGTTTGCCGTTGGATTTTTCCTGGCGATTATTAATGTGACCATTCGGAGAATCACATGTGAATCCTCTGCGGTCGTTAATTGGGAAAATCTGTAAAAAGTAAAAGATTATTGTTACTTTTTTTGGTTGCAACAAATACCTAAGAAGATGTTGCAATATCAGCTATTTCCATTTCCGCAGACAACCGACCGTTGAAAGTATGAGTTTCTCTCGATATCTACGTTCTCAAATCCAAAGATTACATTTAAACAAGACGAAATGGATTCGACAACCTCAAGATAAACTAAAGCCTCAAAAGAAATTCGCACATAAACTCTGGGTTCTGTTGATAGATAAATCACTCCAGATTCTATGCATTTACCTTGTAGTGCCGTGATCTTGATTGTAGCAGCTAACGTTTGTAGCGTAAGCATCGTTTTCGAAAATAACTATTTTGAAATTCCTAATGCAATAAAATACTCTTATCATGGGCTTGAATCGAAATCCCGAGGCTACATCGATAAGGCCGGTCAAAAGTTTTATTCATGCATTATTTAATTGGTTAAAAAGTTTCAATAATGATTTTGCGTGCACGTATGACAGCAATACAGGAAAAGCCGCTCCACTGATCTCCTGTTCACGGCTGAACTGTCCGTTCATACAGTACTCTATTCATTCCATTCAACTTCCCATGCGGTCGGTTGTACTTTAACAAATTCGTCCAGACCCTCTCGATCATGATCTTTCCTGCACAGGGCATGCAACAAAACTAGATCGAGCCATGTGTTAAACGGTTGTGTCTTCACAATCTCCGGGTTTCAAAAGTTTTCCAGGGTGCCTTTGCAGGGTAGTCGATTCGAGGCCAAATGACGAGGCATTCAACAGTCGGTCACCCAGACTTTGAACGTTTTTGACCTTCTACAGGTGGCAGTTAGTGTCGTGTTTATCCTGTGCCACACACCCTAATGTCAAGGCAGCTGGATTTTGAATCTGCTTGTTCAACCTGGGTTTGATTCTCCACAAAAATTTGTATTAATCTGAGTTCAGCATTCAACTGCCACTTTGTTCAGCCAGGCTTTTAATCTCTTGGTGATAAACATCGGTGTACATCACCTTCCCGCTAAAATTAATTACCCTGTATCGACCTTTCAATTTTTGCTAGCCTCACTTCAGGCCCGAAATCTCTCTCATTGGGCAATCTGGCCTCAGCTATTGACTCCTAAAGGCCTCGAACTTTGACGCTTGCTTAGTGAATCTTTCCGACCCATTCACGCCTTGATTCTTAACCATCAACTAGATTGAAACGTTTCAACTATCTCACGGAAACAATGAGAAATTACGCGCCACCTATCTCAAGACCAACCTTTCAGATACCCTGTGAAAAAAGGCTGCATCGACGGTAGCAAATAATCCCACGCGTCTTGCGGCATGACACAGCGTCGAGAACGGTTTCAGTTATCTTCTAGCGACGACTATTTACCTCGAATTAACATACCCGCATTCAGAATTCAGGACAGTTACCTGCCGAGTGCACAAAACATACATTCTGTCTTTAGTATCCTTGTTGGAAGAATTCGTTCGGCAGACCCTTTCTCTAGGAGGAAGAGCTGTGGTGGATCATGCTGATTCACAACCACCAACCCAGCTGTTTCATGGACTCACAACCCTTCTCTCTTACAGTGTTTCCATTGTCCATTCGATATCGTCGGTTCATAAGACGCCTCTGCATATACCTCCACCGCAGCCAATTCACTTCAACTGACCACCAGCCATTTGCACTTCTTTAAGTTCGCCCAGTATGCACAAACCGCCACTCCCTTTGGTCAGACACGCGCAAGCACAGGGCGCGACACTTGCAACCAGATTGCGTCAGTTAGGAAATGGTTGTCGCCACCATCTCCGGTTCCTTAGTCTCCTCTGGTATCTGGGTGACGTAACTGAGCCAATACTCTGGTATGGTTTGAGACCACACACCGGGGCTTTCAGTAGATAAACATGATTTTCCAGAGAAACGCTTACCAACAGTTTCATGATTTTAACGAGCATGCGCTGCTTAAGGATCGCTATGAAACAGCATGCGCTTGTAGAATTTGGCAGGCAGTCATGCCTAAATTTCAGGCTTGTCAATTACACTTCGTGACGATTGTTTTCCTTCCTACCAAATGGCTCTAAAAACTACCTTTTGACATTTGAAATACAAGGAAGTCCTACTCTAAAACGATGAAGCCATAGAGATTAATTTATGACGCGCTGTTGTGCATTGCTTGGCTACTCTTAGTAAGCAAAAGGATCAAAATAACAATAATTGGAAACAAACATGCAAGTCCGACAAATATCTCAGGCAATTGAGACCATGACTATGCAAGGGTCTGGCTGGACCCTGAGAAAGGCAAAGTGACGCTTGATTAGAAAAACTATTCTGCAAGATGCTGCACCCCTTGATTGTAATCAGCACTTTAAAATTTTTTGAGTCTTGGGTTTTGTTAACTAAATATTTGAGGACTCGTGTTTCGGCAGTAGTTTGTATTGTCCATTTATGGTAATGCCTGTTTACAATGTGGTTTAAATTTTACCCTGAAAGTAAAATAATGAAGCATCTGTACACACTGGCACATTCCCAATGGATTATATGATTACAATTATAAAATATAAAGGAGATGTAAATAGTTGTAAGTATTCTCTTTACATCCACTGTCAACCTCATCATGCCACTATTTCCTCAGGAGAATTATCTCCCATACAGGGATGCAAGGGTCGACATTGTTCGGTTTGAAAGCAGAATGAAAAATACCGAAATTAATGAGTAGTCCTTTTTTTTCACTTTTAGCCTACATGCCCGTATGTTTTTTTCCTAGTTTTGTGATTTGACAGTGTGCAGACTTTCGCCAAGGGATGATGGGTTTTCGAAATATAGGTCAGATAGTAGGCGATGGGGCATCATTAATAAAGTGGTCTTCCATGCCAAAATATGTGGCTTTTCTGCTCTCTGCTTGCTTGCCAATCGTGCGTTAGCCAGAGGTAAGTGCTGAGGCATTTCAAGACTAAGTGGGGTTATCCAGCTTAATGTATAAATTGTCATCTCAAGAAACTCGAAACTTGTCCACTGAAATGAGATCAGTAAACGAAATCAGTCATATTTAATTTCCACTACCTCAAAAGCTAGTGCAATTGGAGCACAAGTGTACTTAATTCTTAGCGTGTAAGACACAACTAAATATTTAGGCACCTCAGCTAGACGAACCTGCTACTTGGTGATAAGATAGGTAAATTTTCAAGGTGGCTTCGAAAACGTCGTTGTTAGCACGGTTGCTGCATTAATGGAATTTTGAGTAAATTTCTGAGCATTAAAATTACTTGAAATGTGATTCAATAAACTTTCAGCAAATCTAAAATTAATGGTCGTCATAACTTTCAGTACGATGTTTCCCAAATGTATATATCGAAAAGATATTTCTTTAAATGTGGAACGTTCAATCAAGTGCTTCTACGTAAAAAAATTTTGGGCTAATTTGTCACATTAGATGGTATTTATCCCAATGATTGTCCTACACGGATAATCTTGAACCATTTCCGCAGGTTTCGAGTTAAGTTACTTGAAGTTACCAGAAGACCCGTTCGCTTTAAATGCCGTCAAAATATCAGCTCGATTGCGCTAACTCACAGTAGTCTGACTGATCTCGCCGAAGGCCTCGGTTTTGCAGCCGTACTTGGTTTGGTTTTTGTAGGAGAGCCTTTTGCAGACTCTCGGAGGGCATCTTTTTCTGTCACTCGATTCGGCCACATCCTCAAGCAAAGTGATTACCATTTCACCGCGCTTTGCTCCACAGCCGTTCTGAGTCTTCTATAGTAAAAAGAAGAAAGTAACCGTTAAAATTTCACAGCATTAAAGACCAATTATTGATGCCGTTGTAGGTAAGGTGTTTTTTTTTTGGATTTGAGGTTATTTAGCACCCTAATTACACCGCTGTTAATATAATTCAAAGACCAGAAAATGAATAACAGCATTCTAATTCTTGGAGGACAGTTGAATAGCAAAGTCCGAAGGCTTCAGATTTTAATGACAAGGAGTTTTTTAAACTGTCTGGTTGTTATTTGGAATGAATTTCAAACATTTGTTTCATTAAGGTGCAAATTGCATTAAGCGTTTTGCCCTACTACCCCGGAAATACTTTTATACAACCGGGGTAGTAGTTTTTATTGGTCTGCTAGTGGTCTGATGCTAGAATTTCACTTATTATTGCTGGGCGTTATTGGTTTTAATTTATGAAATCAAACCTTGGATTTTCCCTCAAAATCTCATGCCAATTTGTAGCTGCATCGTTCTGTAAGGGTCGCTTAACGCTCAAGCAGAAGTTATAAATGGGGTTTACTTTAACCGGTTGGTTGTGTCAGAGAAGTAAATGTCCACAATGGTTGTAAATCTCTACTTCTACCACACATCACCTGCAGTGGACAAGGGAAGGGAAATTCTACAAGGTATCAGTACCAAAGGATCAATCTATTTAAACAATTTTAAGTTAGCTCTATCATACCATAATTACTTTAAGTGTCTTTTGAAGTGATAAATGTTATACCTTGGAACCCTGAAGACTTGAGACATTTGCTCCTTACAAAACGCTAAATTTTGTATCGAAGTGATTATTAAAGCCGAGTGTTTGCCTGCTGAGTAAACCTCTTTTTCACATGACAATAATTCTTGCACAATACATAATTATGAATGAAGACCGAAGTTGATGGATAAATTTTTCATGATTGCCAAGGCCCTGTTACATTTGAGATGCATGAAATGAGACCATGCTGATTACTTGTTCGCTTACTAGCCAGAAGCACTAATATGTGAATGCATGCTTTTGGAAGATAGTTGAAGAATGCATGCCCACATCGTATTTATTTACGAGCACAGCACTACGCAAACGAAAAGTATTTCGATTTAAAGAGTAAAAGGTGCTGTAAAACAGTCGGTAAACCGACTGAAATCTGTAATCATTGGCATTACCCTGAAAGTTCCGTTCCTGGAGGCCATTTATCACACCCTAGTAGATAGTTGCTCCAAACAGTTAACACTTTAAGGTCCATTTGCCTAATTTTGAGTGATCGGAGGTCAATTTCGCAAGGTTCATGGTAAATTCCATAGCCTTATGGTCAACAATAAATAGAATACGCAAAATAACTATGATTTTGTTTCATAAATGTATTATCCATCGACTATCCATCTATTTTCCTTTGAGGAATGTACGGTTCGGCTAATTCCCACAGTAAACATGTTACTTTGGGATATAATTCTTCGGACGTACAGTTAATGGAACTGGTTGGAGCACGTGTTCTTGTGTTTCTATTTATAGCGACAAAGAAAGTCATACATTCATTCCAGAAACAAGCCATTTATGTTCTGAAGTGATTCAACCAGCACAACGTGTCTTTCCTTGTATTGCATGTGCGCGGGTTTTAACGATACGTGTGTACATGTGTGTGAACCTACTTTTTTTTCCTGTATTGACGCCTGTGATTCCAGCTTGCTCTCACGATTGTGGTTTTGAGTGTCTTCCGCGGGGGTCTTCGTTCGGACGTTGGCCGGGTCCTCCATGTTTTGGTAATGAATGTTCACGTCATCTGGTAGGCTGTCTTCACCATTCTGCGTCGTCTGTTGGAAGGGGGTAGAGGGAGAGGGAAGCATGCACAACGTCTTAATGAAACAATCTGGCGACAAGTTTCATTCGATTTAATCAACACCAATCGTTATTGCTTTGGCTGGCTTCTGTTTTTGTCCAAATTGCTAATGGCAGTGGTTAAAGCAGTTCTGAGTTTTAAAATTAAGTAACTACGTTGATGCCTCTATTAAATTAATCTTCCAGAACAGAGATATGTATTCAAAAAACTAGCGTTACAACCAGCAATTTCACGTCCTATTTGGTTGCCGTATGCAATTCTGAACGGAATATTTGTTAGAAGATCATGATCAGGTAAATGAATAAACAAGAAATTGATCCTTTAATGGAAATGTTGGACAATTTCAATTTATGTTGTGAAAAAAATAGGTAGGACAATTGAACTACCGTGGGCACCGTTGTAATAAGACGTAGTAGTAAAAGGCTAACTCAGAAACAAAAGTTTGCATGACTTCTGTGAGTTTGAGCACTAAGATGCTCTTGTTTACCACACCTGCGATTGTGTCCTTTAAGGTTAGTAGTGATAATGCAACAAAGCGTATTTTTAATATCTGAGCAAAAAACAACGAACGTTTAGAGTTGGATGTCACCATCGAGGGGAAATTTCCTTTGCACAGAATTCTATTAATCTAAATGGCCTTATAGTTTAGCATTCTAAATGAACAGATAACGTAACCAAAATATTTAAAGGAGTTTTATGGTCTTCTTCTTTAAGACGACCAGATACTCGTATAATTAATGATCTTTTTATCAAAAATGAATTAAATGTAGTGCGTTTGATCGACCCGAGATGGAGTTTTGACAACAACATTTGCAACATCATGCAGCTGGTTCTTGTTGAAGACGCTTTATGCTCATTGACCAATCATGTGCATTGAGACGTGTTTCGGAATTCTGTAGACTCCGTCGCTTAAGACCTGTCGATCGGGTGCTAGCCAGTTCACACAGCAATTCAATTCAAAAACTGAAAGTTTGAGTACACATTGAGAACAGCTGACCATTTCAGTAATAGAATTTTTTCCTTAAAAGTTTAGTGGGATGCTAACGTGACCTGGAATACACAGGTACCAATATTTATTTGGCCTATCGCGATCTGTTGTGTGATGTGGCATTCGCTTTCCACAAACTAAATTTACTACACAGCAAAAGACCAACACGGTAAAATGAATTTGGAATTTTAGCTTCATTCAGCTTGCGTTCTAGGTTAAAAACTATTTCCGCTGTCAAACAGTCCCAGGAAATTAAATTATTTAACTGAACCGTTAAGTGGGCTTCTCGTCAAATTCCACAATTTAGTTTTTTCCGCGCACTTGATGCTTTAAATTCAATTCCACGTGGCATGTTACATCTCGGTGAACTTCCATTCAAACACTTGCATTTAAGGCATTTCGTGACTACGAAATAGGGGTAAAAGTTTTGTGATTCCATATTAAAAAAGTCCCGCATATTCTGATTCAACCCGTATGAAAAGCCTTGTGGCCAAACCGCATATTTTTGGAGGTCCTGTGATCTGAGACGAGTTCATGAGACAATCCATGTGACGCCCCATGCCATGGAAATATCGACCCAAGTTAAATGACCTTGTTACTTACAAAACTGTATCGAATACCCCTTATTCTGTGCCAATCCAAGATATAGAGCTAAATTTAAACAAAGTTGTGCATAATCTCTGCAAGGAGGACAAAGGATTGTTAGAGTACCAGATATGGTGTGCTTTGACATTTGCCCGTTGTCGGTACACAAAACACCACGGCTGCAACCGCCACAAATTTCGGTTTGGCAAATGCCTCCATCTGCGTACCTGTACTATTGAGGGATGCCAATATACCAACAGTAGGAACGTCACATTTTAAAGTAGAAAAGTAAATAAATGTATGAGAGTAGCATAGATAACATTGTACCCACCTGCAATTCCAGGCTGTTGGGGTTTCGAGCCAATATTCCCATAAGCTAGCATGTAACTACAGCCCTTCTCCGATCCGTGTTTGTGTGTGTGTGTGTGCGCGCGCCTAAGAAGGATCAATGGATGAATATGTCTGGCAGAGCTCAGAACGAACCAATCATCACCCACCTGGTGTGCAGAGCCTTATGCGATATGGCATTTGGCCTTCGTGGGAGATTTTGTGAGAAAGTATAAGAAAAAAAGTTGACGCCAATCGACAAGCACTAAACCTGTCAAAGTGATCTATCAAGTAAAAAAAAGTGGTTGCGCACGTTGCACAGGATTATTCGAGAATGCCATGCCATTGTTTGACTAGGGAAACATTGACACCAAACATGAATGAATACTTACCTCTTAGATGAAGTGACAGGTCAGTGTGTCGGGTTGTTGAAACTCGAAATGAGTAGCGCATGCCTCAGTACGATTCTAGACTGAATTAGCTGCTCATTTGGGAGCCATACATTTGCCTGGATTCAACATCGGTTGCTATGTCGATCACTATTCTATTGCATTTAGTAGAGAAATACCGAACCATGAAATGAAGAGCAGCTTCCTACCCTTTTATTTAAACTGTTCCTAAAAGGTCCCAGTAAATCCTTTAACATTGGGAGTATGGACAATTTTAGACATATTAAAGTCTGTTACACTCTAGGATGAAATCTATTGAATAGAATGCTGTAATCTTTACTTGCATGCACCAAATATTCGAAGACTCACCATAAGAATCGCGTTTTTTCTGCTGTTTTATTTACGTGATGATTAGAATTAAAAACAGGGGCAGAATTTGTTCTATTTAGCTCTAGGGAACATAAGATCTGGAGCTAGTAGATTGAAGCTACCATTAAAGGCTGCCTTAATTCTCTTTGGCTAGTATGATTTCATACAAATGTACTTAGATATGAGTTTGTCCATGATTTGAGCTAATTGCTTTTACACGATAGCACCATTTAAACTTGTGGACGTTTGCTGCTGTCGTGAATCGTGTATATACACACTCCTGAATCTGATCACTCCGGCCTCCGATACAGGGTCTCCCTTTTCGCAGCACGTCGCCAGCCGCGCAGATCCTCAACTCCCCCCTCATTCACATGGATATTTATCTTGGATTATCCCCACACCTAGGTCTCGATGTTAGCGCATTTATGACTCACACATCTGAGGTATAAATACACACGCGCAAACCCCACACACAACACAACAAAACCAACGTGGTTAAGCTCTGAAGTAAACAGTTGTGTCCACGTCCTCTTCGGCCTCTTTCTTTCATCGCGGGTATCAGGCAAGTGTAATCGGGCCAGGGTTAATTCATTGGCCCCGGCATGTTTCAAGACAGAATGCTGGTGCCCACAAAACTATTAAGCTTAGCGTGGCCCAAGATCTACCTAGAATAGGATTAATTTACTAAAACCACTGAAGCCCTCACAGAAACTTCACTCACCCACCACTTATCAGTGGTTAATCCTTTTGTAGATATTCCCCTTGGTTAGCTTAACGACTGAAGTTACGCATGCCTTAGATTATGACCAGGTGACTGCCCAAACAATCACATCCTCAAGCTACATACATTTTACCTAACACATAACGTTACATATTACGTTGTTTGCGGCGTCTCTTGACTAAAACGTGGAACAGCAAGCCATGGCCACCTACAATTATGTTGTGAATCAGGCATTCACAACTCCCTGCATTCCATTCTACTCACCACGTTCAATGTCTATCGAGTACACGTAGTTTGGTATAAGGCTTACAAGTATCAGCGATCCTCTTGTAAATTGCCAGAAGAATAGCATCTCTTTGTTAACCGAGATTTTAATAAACATTCGAAACGGTTCAGAGCGTGATTTCTCAGTAGCGTCGTACTGCCCTAGTGCGCCAGCGGACAGAGACGAGAGCATAGATGTCAAATTCACGTATAGGATGGTTGTGCGTGCGTCGTTCGGCATATGTAGGTACAACTTGTAAACAGTGAGAATCAGCCGAGTGTAAGAGCCAATGAAATGTTGCGAGGACTCGCAGACACCGATTGTCGTCAAATAAGCCAGTTCATACAAGTCTTTATTGATGTGGGTAGTCTGAGCAGGGGAGTGGAATAAATGACCATTTCAAATGTCCAACGTAGATTTGATCCACAAGTAAGTTCTCTTGTGACGTGGTTGATAACTTTCTTCACGATATTTCGGATAACGGAGAGATTGATGTGCGAGAATTAGAAATACTAAATACCAACTCCCAGGACTCAGTGGCTGCTCTCACAAAAGGGTCGACTATCAGGCAACCGGTAGTTTAGATAAACTTATTCGGCTAATCACACGTCTGAACCCCTGTGTCTGGGCCAAAAATGTCCTGGAGAGAACAATGGTCTCGGGGGTCTTGTAGCGTACTGACAGCCACCCCGCGTGAGTGATGCGTGCATGAGGGCCCGAGTGGTCCAATGACTTACCCGTTTTGTTATTGACCTCTGTCAGCATTCGACTGTTACTCACACTTGGTTGTTTTGACACCAATAAACCAGTCGTGTCCGCTCTCGCCTCTTTTCCACTCTACTCGAGTTGTCTTGGGCTGTTAATTAGAGGGTTGTAAGGTAGTGCTAAGTTTTCTAGCCACTACAGACTTACTTTTATAAACAGGCAGCTATGATATCAGGGGAAAGAGAAAGCAAGCGACTTATTAACGCAGCCGCACCTCCCGTTGTCAGTTTATCATCACCGTTAAAGTGTAAAATTTAAGGTGGCGTTAAAATTGAGCCATTTCTCATTAAACAGTGTTTCGCAGTACTTTGCTAATGTTTTGTACATTTCTTTACGATCCTTAGCAGTCTCGAAAGTCTGGCCAGTGACGAGATTTACCAGAGGTGCGCATCTACAACAATAACCAACCACGTTTTATTGGACAACCTTTGTGCGCAATTTGGACTGAAGCAAATAAACGCCTGAGTAGCTTTCTACACACGGTATTCCCCCGAATATTGCTGCGAGCAGAGGTTATAAGCTGTACAAGAACACTCTGCCACCGTAATTGTGAATTCGATCTATACACGGCGGCAAGCCCGGACGTCAAACGACCAAACCTCGCAGCCAACCGAGCTGGCTCAACTACTGATTGTAGTGCATTCGTAATAACCTGACGAATTAGGCACTGACGACTAGCAGCGACCGCAGAAGCGTTTCAGCACGCGAGGAGTCCCGAGATTGTCGCGGATGCTAATTGGCCCCTAATTTAATGGTAAAATGTGCGTTGGGCTGTCGAAGGCCCCCTGTGGGGTCCTTGAACCGGCCAGGGCCGATCGACCCACACTGACAAGGCCCAATAAAAGTGGAGAGAAGACGCTGGTAGCGCGTGGTAAATTGTTATAGTGTGCTAAGGCATAAGTTTACATTGGGAAGCCATACACCGATCTCTAAACGGACGTCGCTACGTCCGCGCACTCAGGCTGACCGATTGATTCCGTTCTTGCTCACGCCTGCTAACAGTGTGCGCCTGCCGATTGCCACGAGGCGCTCCCCGTTGCGTGGCCGAAAATTTTTAACTCACTCGTCTGTAAACTTTAAGTTAAATATTTTTTACGACCCCGGGCCTGACCCAATAGAAACGGTATTGCCTGCCAAGAAATTACTACAAAGTTCCAGAAACAAATGACATCAATCGTCATCCAAATAAACATGAAATGAGACTATAAACAACCACTAGTTTCCAGCCGCCCGTGAACACTGGGACTGCGATTTTATTCAAGACTTCTTACTTGGAGTGTTAAGGGTGTAGACCTCTCAAAAGGCAAAGGGAACCCACAGTAAATTGCACGCATTTGAGACTTTGGAGGAGGCGATGGCTACTTAGACATGTTAAGGGCCCCACCATGTTGTCTTGACCCACGCCGGGACTGCTGTGTCAATCTAGGCCGACCACGCTACCCTGAGTACACGCAAAGACGAAGAAGACCGGAGGCACAACCGCTTGCTAGGCAGCCCAACGAGCTGTTGTCGTTGGCGCGTTTTACATGTAGTGCATGACTCATGTGTTTTGCTGACTGTACAGTTGAGTGAACTAGTCTGAATGGTCAGATGAATAGAGCGGGTGGGTGGTGGTGGTGTGGTACACACAGAGGGGTGAATGAGCAGGCGGTCCCATTGACTGACGCACACGCCGTAAAAAGGGGGACGTGTGTGTGAGGCTGCGACGACCGGGTTGCTGGGCTTGAATCAACAAGCTTCACTACAGACATTTAAGAATACCCCTCCCTCATATGTCACAATAAGCACTTTCGATAGGCCACAAGTCAATAAAATCCGTCGCACTTTTTACGACCTAATGAACGACAATCATGGAAAAATTATAAACGACACATATCCCAGATCCGTGGAGAATTCTAAACAATTCATTAAACAAATTAGGCAACCCAACCAAGCCAAAGTCGATTACAAAACAACTTAAGTGAGCGGTGAAAACAATATCTAATACAAGAAAAATCCCCAACCATCTGCTCAAGATGAGTTCACAAAAGTCGTAAGAGGAGCAACCCCTTCTATTGATTGACTTCGTCACCACTAGCATGCGATTTGTTGTTCTCGCCTGTGGGGAGTCCTCCGAAGTGGTAGTATACAGTGGTCTTTTCAGATAATCGGAAATCAGAAAATCCCGCGCCGCTAAAATTGGTTACAACCATCTAAAAAGGGAAACCAAAAAGGTGTCAAAAATACAAAAAGAACGCCCCGTCAACTTTCCAATCAAAAGAAAAAGATTACTGAGCTTTTTTTACGGCCAGGTCCTAAAGAAAAGGATTAAACTGCTCCACTGGATTCTAACCAGTTTATCTCAATTATAAATAGAGACGGTAAACCTAAAAAAGAACCAAGCAAGACTAAATGTATTGAATGAGATTCAAAATAGGCTCTTGGCACCAGCGTGTCGAAAAGAGTGTCTTTAGGCATGATTGGATTCGAAGAATGATAAATGAAGCTGATAGAGGCAGCACATTGTAAATACATTGGGAGTTGTCTTAAAATATGAACTAAAGCTACTTCACAGTAATTTCATGAATGATATTGCACAGAAGAAAAAGACACTTCATTCAAATAATCGTTGAAATGCCGATTCCTCGACCACCATTGTTTCTAGCATGATCAAGACAATGATAAGCTTTGTGCTCATAGTCGATTATGCTGATCGTGAACCTGATCATACATAAGCAAATTTAAGTGTGTAAGACACTGATGGCTAAACGAGGCCTTGAGCTAGTAAGAGAGCAAATAAATTGTACTTCATAGGCAACGGTAACTTACGTCCTTCATACCGTCGAGGACAAGAATGAACCGATAACGTTCTTGCAGGAGAGGCCAGATAGCTTTATCCATTAGGGTTGTGTTGGAGAAACTGAACACCACCATGTCGGCATCAGGTAGGCAGACTACGTCGTCACGCTTACCAAATCTCCAGGACTTGAACCATATGGACACACCATGCACCATTGACCACTGACGATCGAAGGCCATAAGAAAAGGGGACCAGCCCTCACTCTGATCGATCGAGTAATAAACCAGTCGGTTGGTAAAGCCGCGACAGCGAGCGAAGGACAAGAATGCAGCGATGTCTGCGCCCGGGCCGACACCAATACTAATCACCCGTTTGACGTGGTCGCGTAGGTACACTTCCACTTCAGGGTGCTCAGGAATGATTCGCTCTACAAGGGCCTATGACGCAATATTGGTAGCATGGGTTCGCGAGGCCACCTTGTTAGCCATGACACCATCAAATTCGTAGGTCGAAACTCATCCATGTCAAACTAAATTAAACTACAAAAAGATTCTATAAAATCTGTTCGCGTTTGTCTACAACGATGGACGATTTGCAGTGACAACTTGTTGGATCAAACTTTACAGACCTACTCATTTACGATTAGCATTAACCACAAATCACAACTACATTTTTTAAAGCGTGCTAAAAGTGGTCAAATGGTTAGCAGAAACTTATTCAACAGACTGGAAAAGCAACGCTACTAAATTATGGATTCCCATGAAACGTATGATTATTTCACATGTAGAAATGTACGGACCATGGTAGTCTTCGAATAAAAAAATGTTTTAAGCATCCTACTTAGCTAGTAAGGCTGAGAAAGATCTTAAAGGCAATATCACCTAATTGTGAATGAATAGAAAAATGCAAAAAGCAAAAAGTTTACAACAAATTGATAAGAAACTTACCTGTAGAAAACTTGTTGCACTACTAAGGAAACGGTAGTTGGTATAAATTGCGCGGAAGACTGGATTGTCGTAGTAAGCGAGCAAGCACTCCTTACGCCTCACCTTGCCTATAGGATAAGAAAACGCTGTTAGACTTCGGCGTATTTCCGTTGCAAAGTATGCATTAAGACGACTTGCAGAGCTATGATATAATTGCAACTAAACTAGCGAAGTTATAAAAGGTGTGGACACGCAGGTGAAGTAAAACATTGATGATGGTAAAACCAGTCTTAGCAAAAATAACTCACACCATTCTTGGTACAACTTTTCACCTCTTCTGTCGTGATCAGAGGACAAAATAGAGTGGACCTTCTTCCCGATAGGTTCATAGAGATCTGTTAATAGGCGAACCTCGCGAATAAATTTCAATTTGCGCTGTGCACAGGTTTCCCATGCAAGCCTCGCATCTTCATCTTGGGCATCTTCAATCTTTTTTTTGGCTAGAAAGTCCTCCCACCACGCCTCTAGATCAGGATCGCTGGCACTGGGCGGAATTGCACCAGTGACGACAGGGGCATTCTTTGAACTCATTAACTAACTTAAAAAGTGGACCAGGTGCCTGTAATTAGATCGTAAAAAATACTAAAATTTTGTTAAACGCATAACGGAGAATTCATAAAACTTCACCGCATACCTATGAAAATCTAACAAACGGAAGGAAAAACGAGGAAAACCTCAAATCAGGTACCAAAAGTGGGAATTAGCTTAAACAAGACTTTGTTGATGATTGTGTGCCTAATCGAAGACTTCAGTGACCTAAAAAGCAATTTGAAATAATGATCTGAAAAATTATTTTAGGAACTCAAACATAATATTTAGGTTGACAATGGACAGTGAAATATAAACTTCCAAACATAAAATCGATTAGTTGTAAATCAAAGATTTGAGGTTATACACCCACGTTAAAGTTTTTTTGGTTGCAAATGCGGAATATGCAAGCTCGTTGGTACCTTTTATACAAATGATCATGGTGAAGCTGCGCAATAAATCAACAAGATCTTAAATTCTGGAATTAATTCAAGGAATACAACACGAAAAAATTAAATAGGCGAATTTAGACCTCTGCATGATTAAAATATACGATAAATTTTTCTATGTAATGCCAGTATCATTGATGTACGCCTATGTTCTGCATAGATTTTGGGATTTCGTAATTTTCTTCATATCATTTATTGACTGACATATATTTTCTGCAATACGTGTATAATAGTTTGTGGCGTTATGGCCGGATATGACGAACATTTACGAAGGTTTTACCTGAATCATGAGTCTTTGCAATCGCCGAAACCATTTCTACCCTGGGTGCCCTCAAAATCCGATTATTTTTTGGTTAAAGGCGTTTTTTTACCTAAGTCGATGAGGTGCCCAAGGAATCTTGGGAATGATAACATTACTGTAGCGTTTTGGGTATATTACCACGTGTCCAGGATCCGCACGCATCCTCTGTTTTTTAAGGTTGTCAGATTTACTGTCCTTTTGTTTGAATTAACGTTTTAATTCGTGATAATTGGGTTTTCAAATAATCAAAATATTGGCTGTTTAACAAAATAAAAATGGTATTTGCACTGCCTCACATAATGTTTAGTATTGTGATAATTGCGCTGTTTGGAATGTCCTCATCGGATTATGAGCAACTAATTACAAAGTACAATTATGTAATATCTTTAGAAACATACTGAATTTATTTAAGCCCTCTGGCTAACGGCAATCGCTTAAGGCTGAAATGACTTCACTACCACAATTCGATCACTTAACTTGTTCTCAAGCAAAAATTGAACGTAAATTTCTTTAAGGTTCAAATTCAGAATGGGGAGCCAGCATTCCTCAAGAGTTTTCGCTTAATTAAAAATCTGTCAATGGTAACTCAACCCCTTATCAATCCATTCAATTTGGTCACCACTTTTTTAAGGCACTTCACTGAAAACTCCTGCCTGTTTTTATCTGTCTCGACTCTTTTGGTCAAGTTCACCCATGCTACAAATAAGCTGTTCATTTTGGCATTCTACTTGGCCTTTAGCTGAGACAGTGAAGGCTTCTTGAATTGGTTGCTTTCGTCATAGCTTTGAGAAGGAGTTTACGCACTCTGACGAAGTCTTTGCTCATTTTACGTAAGGCTTTTAATTTTCATCCGATAACAGTAAAATGGTCATTAATAGGAACAAAAATTCGCGGATAGCATTCATTGTTGGCTAGGTATTAGAAAGCCCAGCAATAATACCATATAAGTAATATGAACTGAGCAACAATCGCCTGTCGTCCAGCCTGACCGCACACCAAAAGTGACTGTAGTGTGCTATGAGATTCACGTCCTTTGTCCTACCTTAGCGACTCAAAGGCTCACGTGGACACATGTAAGTGCTTGCCATGCAGCTTGCCATTTGCATGCTTGTATATTGGTTCACCCTAATTCTACTGATTAACGACCTCTATTACATTTAACCATCTTGTGTGTATCTGCACTACTTTTATGCACAGCACACAGACGACGAATGTAATAGGGATGATCCATCTAATAAATAATTGCGTCTCCATAGTCCTTTTTTTGCCCTCTCATTTAATGGCGTAGTTTAAATGAGAAGAGGTTTGAGACCCCTAGTGGGGGCTACACAAATGAGAGCCTAGCTCACTTTGATTGTTTTAACTCAGGAAAGGTATTTCTGAATCCACTGTTTACTTAGCGTTTTAAAGAATCATACCATCGCTAACTTTAATCGCCCCAATGCATTAGTCAGTAGGCCAGGTTTGTTAAAATCCCAGCCCTGATTTGTAAAAATCATACAAAAGGTTTCGAGTTCTTTCCATTAAAATCCCAATCCAGTATTTGTTAATGTTGGACGCGAATTTTTTTCTGAACTCTGTAGCATGGGTTCGACGCATCAGATCTACTTTCAATTTGGCTGCAATCACATTAGAAGGGGAATGTATTTCTGCATCGACACTGCAGCTTCATGCCTGTCTGAGAATCGGGAAGAATTGCTCACAGTTACTCACAGAAGCGAGTGCAAATGTAACGTAAAAAATAAAATGAAGGAGTGCTTTCATGGCAGTCATCGTCACTACGTGATCAGGGAGTAGTTCGTGGCATGCATTGTTAGAATATCGTGTTTATACGGTGTGGGTTTGTGCTATGATCCTCCTAAATAAGGTGACGATGCCTTTACATACCTTTTTTTGCGTCTCTCAATTAGCGCGCTATGAGCTTGGTCGTTTGGTGAATACTCTAGTCCTTAGGACGTTTTGGGCCCTCATTACCCCAAGATAACACGTGGACTAATAGTGCGGAAAGTCATCTCACCAAAAGATATGTGATAATTTTGATGCTCAATTAGCACAACCTTTAATAAGTAGCATTTTTAATTGATGTGATTGCCTAATTGTGGAGCAGGTCAAATCGCACCAAGTGGTGTAAGAGCTCTTTCTTTACCAACTGCGTAGCAGCCAGGGATCTGAGATTTGGAGGTGTTTTAAGAAGGAACTTGGAAATTAGGAGATATGCAACGTTTTTCATTACGTCATATGAGTTGACTGCTTTTTTCAAAGTTTAATTTCAATTGATGGAATAGAAGTAAATATTGTACGAAAGAATTTATGCGTTATTACCTAGCTTTTTAGTGTTAAAGACTCAACCGATATTTGAATTAATGTGATATTCTTGCAAGATAGGTCCATGGTCGTTTAAAAATCATCTATACCTTTCGTATTTCAATGGTATGTGTGATTACTTAGTTTAGTCACGGAAGTGGAGACAAAGATATTTTCCTTTCCTTACTTAATCAATGCGTAAATTCAAAGTTATTTAATACAGCAATACCGATGATAAATTAGGCAGCCGATAGTAAACGGCGTAGGTGCTCTTCAGTACGCATTAGTGATTGTGCAATCAAACGGACTTACTTTATCGATCTTACGTCAGTCCACTCCTCCACCATAGCTTTTTGACTTTGCGATGTGCCCAAATTTGTGGCTTACCGTCCCACTTTCTTTGAAATGACCTTTAAGCAACATGAATTGCAAAACGAGTTGACTCAAATGATTCAGTTCTTAAGGCTGCGCACCACCCGGCACATCAGCACCTCACCTCAATGTCTTCAGTCATATAGCCTGATGCTTTTTATCTGCTATAAACGTCATACTTTGATATCACTTATGTACTGACAACTTGGATAATTCATGTTTCACTGAGATGCTATTTAGTTACCCCAAGCCAAGTAACCGCATTACTTGGAAAGAGAAGTACTTTTGCCCCAATAATCATACAATCCAGGTCATGCATGCCTGTTCTTTATGTCGTTGTTATCTGAAGAGCTTTAAAGTTAAAAAAAGCCTTTTGAAGGCTGTAGATCTGAGGTGCCAATTAGTAATGCTCTGTTTTTTTCTTCGAACTGCGTTCCATAACTGTGAAATGGTACTGTCACAAGGTCATAAGTGGAGATTTTGTCTGTTGTTCACTGTTTTAAAAAATTTTATAATATCAAACACCGTTGATCTTATCGTTATGCCCTAAACGTGTTCCTTGTAATGTTGATCCAGAAACCACTTTCAGGAAACCTAAAGTGGATAAAAGTGATTTTGGTCAGTCTATTTGATGAAATTTAAATTATCACTTATTAGATTGAAGCATACAAATTTTACAGCTATAAATTGCTGACATTTAAATCCAACACATACCGTGAAAATATATTCGAAGCATTTTCAATTGTTGATTAAGTGATTAATTCTACTTTGAACTAGTAGAGAAAGGCCAATTTCAATTCGCCAGAAACCTGTCACCTGGGGAAAACGAACAGTCATTGGAGTTCAGAAATTTGAGCAGACCATAGATGCTGTGCATTTATCCGTTGCCTTAGCCAGGACCCGTAAATGTTTGTCAAATCACAGTGACAAATAGCGCTTTTCTGCAGCCATCTTCCACTATCACCTATCTACGACAGCTGCAAACTCTCATTGGATGATCCTGAAGAGCATTGCTTCTGATGTTATATGCAAGCCACGCACCACAACCTGGCATATGTATAAGCAAAACCTGATTTTCAAGTCAATCAAAGCGACCACTTTTTTCGTGCCTAGTTTACGACGCCACAGCGGTGCCCGGCGCACAACCACAGGGAAATGCTGCGCAACAGCCAGACAAATGCCCCAGGAGGACAGAGGCCGAAACCGCGATTCAAGATTGAGAAAAGACGGAATCGAGCTCCTCGGTTTATGCGCCAACTGAATTCTTTGGATTTCTCTCGATTCCGAAAGAAGAACGATATTATGAGGTCAGTGCATCTTTTTGTCGTAAGTGTTTGAAATCATGGGGCATATTTTTCGTCCTTGTTACAGGCAATAGCTTGCAGGATGACGATGCAAACTAGTAGTAGCTGCTAATGTCTGGCAATTCTTTACATTACCGTAGGATTAAAGGAAGTAGCTGAATTTAAGTAACACGTGTAGCACTCGTGTATCCGGGCAGGCTGCATCAACCAAAACATTTTCCTTTTTTTAAAAAAACAATTTGAGCAGTTTTTATCAGATGGGATCAAAATGTGAAGACCATACGGTAGCATTATGTAGACTACTTATGGTAGTGACCACGACATACTCTTACCCGAAAATTCCGACTGACAGCCACGCGTCATCGGCATCTTGCATTAAAAACACACATCTAATACAGTTTAGCAAGATGTCGATTGTCTTTACGATGTCACTAAAATGACCTTCCTATGTCGTGGGTCTCATTAGTGCCTTATGTAATGAATTGCTGGCATTTTAACGCTCTCGGAGAACAATACAGTTCTTCGCGTTTTTGAATGAATAAGCACCTATGTCATTAAAAGTGGTTATCTACGAAATCGAGAAACATAACTTTGCTGTTTATGACATTTTATCAAATGGAATGGCCCGCTTATGAGCCGATGGTTTTCCGTCGCTCTCAAATCTGTACACTTATCACTAATATTTAATAAAAACAATGACAGCGAGGACCTTTTAATGATTTTATGTTCTCTAACGTGACTGCATGACTGGTTCGTTTAAATTTATTTGCGAAAATGTAATTCTGAAATATCTGAAAACTGAAAAAATTTCCTAATTCTAAAATGGGGCAAATGAGTACTGTAAATCTCGAATACCACTGTCTAATTATTCGGAATTGGAGGTGTTCTCTTTTTTTAATTGCAAATAAACATTATTAATGTTAAAATACTATTCATGTTAAGTAACCGACTCTAGTCAACTATACTTTTTTCATTGCTATATTTGTTTAGTTTAAAATGCTGTTTTCTAACCACTTTTCATTCTATCCATAAATTACCTTTAGTTGTAAATTTATTTTAGGTTCCTTGGTTTAGACTGGAATCATTTATTTCCCATTTCTTTGGATTTGGTCATTCTGATTTTAAAAATAACTTACTTCGAACGTTAGGACCTAGGATACCCAGGTCATACTTCAAAAGAAATGCTATCCATGGCTTTTGCTTGATTCATTGAAATTGATTTAAAAGGTAGCCATGTTGACTGACATTAAAATTTGTCATTAATACAAACAACAATTCTGATGTTTCCAAACATGCATGCATATTTTAATAAATTGTGGTTAACTTTAAAGCTTAGTTACAGAACCTTGAGCAAATAAGGACACCTCGTGTAGTGAGGATCCATTTGGGAAACAATAAGTTTACTAATTTCGCTAAACACGCACTGCATTCAGCATCACCGAAGATTTTCATAGTTGAGAGTTCAAATTCATATTGAGACAATTTTAAAACCAAAATTGAATTTGTTCTGATTCACTTTGATTAAAAATATGAAATTGTTTATTGAATAGATTCACCTCACCTCCTTGTGCCCATGCAACTTCTGGTCCAATGGGCCAGTCCAAGTAAAATTAACCAATGGGAGTTAATAGATTGACCAGGATAATTCGTCTCCACCATAAAACTGTAAATTATCCAAACTGGTCATCATTGGCACTAAAGTCAATAATTACTAATGTTAGGTTAAAAATAGACTTTGCCGTAATGTTTGCGAGTGATGTGAATTAAAAAGATTTACTCCAAGGGGAAGCAATAAAGATCTGTTCTAAATGCTTCTCGTCAAAGCATTGGTGAATATGAAAATCGAGATCTCCTACTTGGCTAAGCAAGCCATCTCGTGTATTGCGGTAAATTTGAGGCTTTACTCGACAAATATGATGAACTTTGATTTACCCCAATTTCGAAAGACTTCAATTCTGCATCAGTGGTAACCTCGGGTGACTATCCCGTTGGGTTTATATATGAATACCCGACAATACAAAAAACCTGTGTTCGTTGGGTTTTGAGTAGTCACTTGCAGCATTAGCGGCCTCTTGGTGTAAAACCCTTTTCAAAACCCATCAGAGATGTATTTCCAATTCACACACAATCACGCATAAGTCAAAAAAGTGTAGCCAAGGCCAAAATAGACGTCCTCACACGACTCCTACAATGCGAAAGCCGTTTCTCTGAGTGCTCTAGGCACATGTCCAGGGGTATACAACCAGCGCGCGTAAAAGCAAATCAACTGCCAAAAGAAGAAGTAAATGAAGGCAATGACCAGGATTTATTCGTTATTGGATTTGATGCATCCTTCAGAATTGACATCGGATAATAAGCAAGCAGCCAAGCTACTATTTGGCATTTCATCAATGAGCGTTTCGGTGTTTGTACAAAAAAACACCAAGAACGATGCGGGCTGTCAGTACGTAAGCTCAACTGGTTGCCAGAATTGCTGCGTGGAAGCCTCTACATTGCTGGAGAACTGATTTAAAATGGAAAAATAGAGAATAGTTGGAACACTTTCTCCACTCTATCATCCTCCGAGCATCATCCGATAAATCAATAAAGCGATTACAAAAAATCAATAAGACTAACCAAGCAGTGATTTAAAATCTTGCAAAAATCTTTTAATTGTAGAATGAATTAGCAAATTTGCATGGTTGAAGAATTCTTTAAAACGAGGAGCTAATCAGAAAGACTGGAAAGAATTGGGTTTAGTTGGAATACTAACCACGAAGTCTAGATTTCACCTTCACTGTCTATCTCGAGAATAATTTGTCATCGCGGCATTATAAAGGCGCTAAACAGGTGCACCGGTGTAATCAGGTTTCAACCACACGTCTTCAGTCTAGATAACGTATGAAAAATGAGATATGTAAATGACTAAGACGATTTCGGGGAGCGCTGTGAAACTCACTTACTTTTAGTCTACTTGATGTTCTCTTGTCACCCTTCTAGACGTCCAAGTGTTGCTTTCGCTGACTATGAAATAAAGGACAAAAGGTAAGCTAATGTTTCGGATTTCACTACAAGTAATTAAGCTGGCTTTTAAGCTATGCGCGTAGGCCCGTTAACAACATTCGCTCGGGTTTGAATACCATAGGTTACTTCTGATCATCACCTCTTCGGTCTTCAAAGAACTAAGATTAGAACTAAAATTGTTGTCAGTAATTTGGCGTTCGCTTCTGGTGCAGTGAGAAAATTTTCCACTAACATCAGAAGCAAGAGCGATTTCTTTATGCAAACAAAGGTCACAATAAACTTATCCTGTCACTTGATGGTTTTTGGTGTAAGAGCATTATGAACGTCGTTGCGGAGTTGTGCACTCTTTAATATCTTTTGCAGGAGTTCAATTATGTCCTCCTTGTTGCTTCTGTCTGCACTCATGGAAGGCGTCGCATCCTTCGTACTACCCATCATTGACGCCTTTGGACCGCCGAAACACGTGGAGCACAAATTTTACTTTGAGGTCAGTAATAAAATGCTCCTTTCTGCGCTGAGGTAGGGCGATAACCACTAGCTGGAAGCGCACTACCTGGTTCATGATCACCGATATTTAGGCCACAGTATCTGCCATTGTGTGATCAGGCTATCGAGGTGTAGCGAACTGACTGGATGATCTAGCTTGGGACAAATGCTAACGAATGTCCTCATGCTTACATTTGTAGACTCCACAAGTCACCTGATCTAACCGTAGATTCAATCTATCCTTCATTCCGATTCCTTATTCAGGTCTTTCAAATAATACAATTTACTGCCTCGATCCTGGCACTGGCCTACCTGCAGGCTCTAATGATTTACTACGATTGGAAGAGGCAAAGACGTGAAGTGCTTACACAAAAACTCATGCGAAGCAGCAGAGACAGCAGTGAGGAGCCTTACCGAACCGACGAAGACAGAGACAACGACTCCGTCGTCTCCGTTGACCCCGAATGTTCTAGAACCATTGAGGCTCCCTATCAACCAGTCCAAATAGTAGAAAACAACGTTGAAATAAGTGAAGATGCAAGCTCTGAAGTTCCTCCAAATGCGGGTGAGTCAGCGCCTAGGCGAACTATCGGCTTGAGCCTTAATTGATGAACGATGAAAGTATTTTCATTATTTTGGATTGTAAATTCGTGTTTTTGGTCTTAGTTGCAACTTGTTACAAGCGTTGGTTCCGAATTGTAACTATCACCGCGAGTACGATGGCAAATTTTAGCGGAAACCACTGAGTTAAATTAAAATTGCACGACATTATTTGTTATTGAAGAATACGCATAAAGGTTCAGCATGGCCAGATTCGCACGGTCAAAATGAGCAAATGAACTCCAAAAATTTAGCTCTCAACTGTGGAAAACTGAACACTCCAAGTAGAATTAGTGGAAAGTGTATTATCTTTTCATGTTGGGAAGAATATCAAGTAAAATGTTGATTTCCCATCATTGGCTTAAATGCCTCCCTAGTTTCCTTGAAAAAATGTTGTCTTTTTCTGAACAAAAACTTGCAATAATTGGCTGTGCCCAAACTCCGATTGAGTACGTTCCACGGTCCTTTTGGATTAAATGGAAGCAATCCTTAATGATCTCGGGAGGTATTTTGGTTCGAAAAAAGAAAGCTAAGTTTGCTGAATTAGAACCGTTAGGAATAGTATTGCGCAGTTTTTTTCTACAATCTCTAAAAATTTTGAATGATGGGAATCAGGATTTAAAATTTTGAAACCTTTTTTTTAAACTAAACTGAGGTCCAAACAACTAGAAGAACTTTGCACGAACCTGAATTTGGTTGTCTACAATGCGTCAATTGCTAGAGTACGCTGAATGGTTATTTACAACTTAAGTATTCTTGTTTATGCCTGGGATCTGTGTCTGAACTCGAATGGACGAAAAATTGAATTTTCCTCTTTTTTTCAAAAAAAACTAATTTTAGAATATTAGCACATTTGGCACGGTTCAAGCAACCAGTACACAGCTTGAAAATTGTTGGCGCATTGCATTTAGAGAACGTCCAAAGCAACATGGCTAATATAATGCTATTACGTGCAAACGACTGCTGTAATTAAACTCGATATACCCGAATCATTTGTACCTCTGATTCTCAGGCTGTGGGACGTTTGTTGTAACTGTCATCCTGTTAATGTGATTTGTATATTTTAAAATTTGCACAGATGACGAAATAAACCAACGCAACAATTCTGAGATAACAGAAGAACCTCAACCCTCAACGTCAACGGAATCCTCTTCAAATGGACGCAATTACAACCTACAATCAAGAACCGTAGTCATACATGTAAGTACTGATCCAGGGCGTGGTCATATTACTATCAAGCTGTCACCTTCAGTAAAAGACCGCTTTATGTGGTCTTAAAAGCGTTTCAAGGAAATGCTGTGAGTATTTCGGTTTGAAATCACTGTCTGGGACTGATTGCAGGCGTATAGTTCGACTTGACTATAAGGTTGGAGTTTTGTTGCTGAGTCAGAGGAAAATTACTGGTCGTCTGGATGTCTACGAAGGTCATTTGTACGAATTTTGCCATGATATTGGCATGCTAAAATCGGAACATCCGATGAAACCTTGAAGCCTATATAAATAAATCCATTCTTTTAGAAAATAAATTTCAGCCGGCCCAAAACAAGCGGTCAGTAGTGAACTTGACAACCACAGGATTTATGACTTCCACCGTTTCAAATAATCAACATTGGATTTACGCTTAGCCCCGTGTCTCTCCCTCCTGTTATGCCTAGCCATTTACTTGAGGTTTACGTAACACGCCAAAACTACTTTTTTGTTAAAAAAAATTGCAACCGAAGGACAATGACGGTGATTCCAGTGATGAAACAATAGTACGAAAATGCAGCTCGGAATCGGTCAGTCCAAAGCCCCTAGGGAAGAGGAGAGTGACGCACCTTGGGAGGATGTTTGGAGACACGCTAGGGACCTTTAGCAAGTCCAACCCACCTTTCACCCAAGATAACGAAGGGATTAACCTGTACCTACGCCTTGGTGCAGTTGGTAAGTTTTCATAACTAGATAACAGTGATTAATTGTCAGAATTTCTGTAAAAGTGAAGGTTTGGAGCAATAAGTACAATGAGGTCATGGTTTGTAAATCAGTGTTATGGCCTCACGGTGTGAACATTCATTCACCTACGCGCTGATCACAACTATGGCTGTGTATAACACAAAAGTTGCCTACAACACAACGAGGTGACAGGGTTTGTCAATAGTTCTTCTGCCTTTTAAGTGTAAAAAAGATTCTGAATTGAGCGTTTAACGAATTTTTCATGTTTCTTCTAATTTGCAATAATTTTGGATGCTTAGTAAGTAATTTATCGCACCTCCGAGCATTGTACCATTTCTACGTCAGGCACAGTTTCATAAACATTCCTTTTGGAATCACCATGGGCACACAAAATTTGATTCATTTGGCTTGCTACAACAGTCATCGATAAGAATAAAGCACTATTGACAGCCCTGTTGAAATAAACGGTTTAGAATTGGTTTCAGCGTTTCAGTTGATCAGGCCGGTAAAGTCTTGGCGACTCATCCACTTGTGAATGGCGCCTGGCAGAGCGTTAACGGTTGTAAAACTACTTGGACACATGACTGAAAGTGTAATTTGGGCCAGAGCGACCACGTGGCTTCGAGAAATGCTGCTCTCCAAGAAAGCAGTGCCATTTGCTTAACTTTTTTCCCAATCGTAAGCCGTTAAGCGATCGTGTAAATCGTAAACATGAGACCTGATTCATTTGCTTCCTGGTGCCCTATTATAAATCCCCTACCGTTTTACTGTCTTTGTGGGGAACGTACATGGCTATCAAGCCTCATGGCCCCCACATCATGACATCCACGATGTTGAGACCCTAGGAGAATGAGAAGGTCATGGAAAATGCGAGTTCATTTTTTGTACAAAATCATGACAACTCGAGACGGAGACGTGCGCATTGAGTGCACGGTCTAATGGTGGTCAATTTACGCAGATTATAAAATCAGTGAGGGATAAGGTACGAAGAGTTAAGTCGATCGACCACGCAGATGTAGTGGTGGTGGTGGTTGAGTGAGAGTCGATCGACGGGCTAGGACAGGCGTAGAAGTAGGCGACTGACTTGATTTCACACGAGTCACAACACTGCTTCGCTAGGTATTGTACAGTTGCGTAAAACAGTTCTTTAATTTGACCGGAAGGTGGCACATCACTTCTAGTTAGTTGCGCGCGTCCCCTGGCAAAGTGGTTGGCTGTCAGTACTCGATATTTCGTACGAACCACACACCCATGGTTAAAAATTAAGAATTTTACCATCCAAAATTGAGGACAGGTGTTCATGGTTTGATTATTGCAATAACATTACAGAGGACGTATATTGGATTATTTTAGTACCATTCTACTAATGACGACTACTTCCTTTAAATAGAAAAAAAGCACTATAGCCCAATGAGAAGTTTTCGAAACCGTTCAATACGCCTCATCACAGTCATATTTCTGACACAAATAACTAAAGTCTCAAAATAATGTTTTAAGAAGAATGAAATTAGCACATTTATCCCCTCTCTCTTTCATATTTCAGTGTTTGGGTTTGGAGTAATGATTATGGATGGATTCAGGGTTGCCGACCAATTCCGAGCAGAAAAGATAATCTTTGCCTGTCACAGTGTACTCTGGATCCCCGTAAACCTCATCCACTCAGTCTACGTCTTCTGGCAAACCTACTTCCTCTTCAAGTATCATCGGGTTCGTTTACGTAGCAGTAGTCTCATGTTTGCATTTCGCTTCACCTATAACTGACACATACTGAAATTCTAAAATCATGACCTCCATTATGTACACCCCATACTCCACCATCCTCAATTCTGCCTAACGCCAAAATCCCCTCATTAGGTAGTCACATGTGCTTAAGCCAAGCACAGGTCAACAAAATTCGTTTCATTTGAAGTCGAGATGCGCAATGATCAACTACCCACACCGCGTGTGCAGCAAACGAGTAAATCGAGGTATGTGGAAGAAGTAGAAATTAAACACAGGACAAAACCATTAACGATGAGCCAATGCAGATTGACCAGATGCTCATCAAACAGAAGTAGCTTCGTGCCCAAGCCTAGTCATGTCGCAGATTTAGGCGGCAGGAGCAAGCATCTTGGAACG